GGGAGGGTGGGGGGGGGGGGGGCGGGGAGGCCGGCTCCGGTGCAACGGGAAGGGCGGCAGGCAGGGCCCGGTGCGAGGGGGAGCGGATGCACGGGCCGACGAATCCCGGTGCGACGGACGAAGGAACGAGCGGGGCCCGCTGCGCGGCGGGGAGCGGCCGGGCCAGGCCCCGGTGCGCGGTGGTTTGAAGGGGGCGGGGGCCCGGCGCACCGGGGCCGAGCGCAGGGCCCGGTGCGCGGGGGTGGTGTGGCCGCAAAAGGGCGGCAGGGCCCGGCGCACCGGCAGCCGCACGGCGGCGGGAGGAGCCCCCGGTTCTCGGGAGCGGGGGGAAGGAGGGGGGCGCGGGCACCGGGGAGGGCGGCGGAGCTGGAGCCCTGCCGCCCCTCGGGGGGCATCCCCGGTGGAGCGGGGGTGCCCCGGCCGTAGTCCCTTTCCGGGGCGGGGGGGGAGCTCCTGCGTCCCCGGCCGGTGGCTGTTGCTGCTGGAGCCGGTTCTCTGTGGCTGGACACCCCGGGGATGCTCCGTCCGCCCGTCCCGGGGAGCCACGGGGCCCTGCTGCCTGACCCCGGGGTCGGTAGATGGGCCCGGTTCGGGGCGTGTGGGAGGGAACGGGGGGGGAAGTGGTGAAACTGTTGAGAAAGTTGTAAATGGGGAAGAGGTGGGAAACAAACCAGCCCCAAAGGAGGGGGCGGCCGGGGCTGTGGGACTGGCCGTGCCACCCACCCCGTGGGGTGTGTGCTGGCGTTACCGGCTGTGAGCGGGGCCGGTGGCGGCTCCCGTCCCGCAGAGGACGTGTTGGGAGCGGGGCAGCTGGGGTGTGCTCCAGGACTTGCTTCCCGGAGCATCCCGGAGCAGGAGCTGAGCTCCCCGCGGGCAGCCTGTGGCCAGGTGGGTGCCGTCCCTCCGTGTGGGGGACGGTTCCGCTTCCCACCGGCACGGCTCAGTTTTTGTGGCTTGTGGCATCTCGGCCACAAGCTCTGTGCTGGCCCCCTGCTCCGGCACAGCCTGCAGCTCTGGAGCTTCTCCCCATGCTTGCCTCCTCACCATCCCGTGTCACCACCTTGCTCCGTCCCATTCTGGCTCCACTTCCCCGGGACCCCACGTCCCCCGTGTCCTGGGGAGATGTTCCAGGCAGAGCCCAGGGGAGGCAGGTCGGTCCCCAAGGCCGGGAGCCCCGGGAGGAGGAGAGGGCGCCGGCCTCGCCGGCTGTCGGAGCGGAGCGGGCTGCGTCTGATGTCACTGCAGTGCATGGTGGGTAATTATGCACGTTGCAATGAAAATAATAAGGCCGGCTCCATAGCAGTGTCTAAAAATACTGCTAATGCGGAGTGCCTGCCGGGTGCCTTTGTTTGTCACCTTTGGGTGTTTGCTTTGAGGCTGGCCCCGGGCGGCAGGAGCCACGCTGTGTGGCGTCACGCCCCTCGGGCGGTGGGCTTGGTTTCGGAGGTGAACGGTGGCCCCCTCTGCACCCCTGCGCTGGGGCAGCGGAGCCAGGGCAGGTGTCGCCATGGGAGGTGAGGCAGGAGCCACCTGGGTGCGTTTGGGAGGCTCTGGAGTCACCCCCCCTGCACACAGCCCTGCAGGGAGTCACGGTGGAGTGGCTGGGCTTTGTGTGTCCCCAGCTTTGCTTGGAGTCTGACGTATGGCTGTTCCTCTGTCCCAGCGACCTGCCCTGATGTCCCCTGGCAGGTCCCAGCGTGCTGGCCTGCCCGCAGGGGGGTTGGTGGAGATCGGGGTTCGGGCCCTGGCAGTGCGGTCTGTCCATTGGGGCAGAGCTCAATGGGGCTGGGGTTGCCGGGTCTTGCCCCCAGTGCCACCTCCACGGCGTGTCCTGGCACCAGCAGGACAGAGGCGGTGGCATATTGCTGCTTTCTGGCTGGGCAAAGGTGGGCAGGAGGGATGTGTGTCTAGAGCAGAGAGAAGTGGTGTGATGGGTGCTGGGTGGCACCTGGTGGCCCTGCCCCATCCCCTGTCTGTGCAGCTCTCCCTGCTGCTGTGGTCCCTCCATCTGGTAGCTCCCCGCTGCAGCAGAGGGAGAGGCTTGCAGGGGTGGTGAGGAGCCATCTGGAGCCCCGGCTGCTCCAGCCACTGGCCTGGCACGCTGGCGGGGGGAAGGTGGCATGTGGCTGGGCAGCAGCGAAGGGCAAGGAGTCGGTGCTCTCGGGTCTCCGCCATGAGTCTCTTCTGCTTTTTGTGTGGGGAGGTCAGAGCGGTGGGTGGTGTCTCTTGGATCCCATCTGATGCTTGCAGAGGGCTCTGACTCGGTCCATCGGCCGCGAGAGCTGAGCTTCATCCCTCTTCACCTCGGAGCAAGTGGGGAGGCATCCCCCCTGCGTGCTGGGCTGCCTGGCCTTTAGCATCACGGCTGCGTTTTTGGGGCCCTGTGCTGGGCTCTCCCCTCGCTGGAAGGGGGGGTGTCACCTCTGATCTTGCCAGGCGCTAAGTCTGACCCCTGAAGCCACGCGTGGCGGTGACGTTCCCTCGAGCGGTGAAGCGCGCCGTGCCGTGTGGCTCCCTGTTGGTGAGCCAGGAACAAAGAACGGGGAGAGGAGACTTTGCGAATCCCCATTGATTCGCACCGGGGGAGCTGCCCACTGTGTGTTTGCGTCTGGCTGCCTGGGACCAGGGCTCTGCGAGGGGAATTGATCAAGCTGTAAAACCCAGAGCCAGCTAATGAAATAGGGACTATAGATTTTTATTTTAAATGGAAGAGAGTTTAGGGGAGATTTAATTATCCCTGTTTTATGGACCTGTTAGAGAAATGAAATAACAGCCAGCAGGTAGGGCCCGGGCTTTGGCTCACGGCACTTCTCCCAGGTGTGTGCAGAGCTGGTGATGTCCTGCCAGCCCGAGGCAGCAGCGGGGAGCGAACCGAAGTCACTTGGAGCAGAGCAGAACAGGATGAAGTCCTGCTTGTCCTGCCAGGTGTCCCTGCATCCCCGCTGGGAGTATCTGCTCTCAAATAGCAGAGGGGCTGGCCCTGCAGAGGTGAGCTTCCAGCCCAAACCGGGGCTGGTGTATGACGAGGTCTCCTTCTCCCTGGGGCTTGGGGTGGGCCTGTCCTCATGCTGGTGGGTGTCGGAGAGTTCGGAAGCCCCGTGCTTGCTGGGCTGTCTCCCCCAGGGTGTCGTTTCCCTGGGGTCATGGGCATGGAGCTCTCACTGAAGGCTGTGTACCTGCGCAGAGCGTGTGGGGTTTGTAAATGAGAGCTGCAGAGCGCTGGGATTTGCTGGGCTTAGCTGTGTGTCGGACACACAGCTGTAACGCTGTCACTACAGCCACTCCTACTGTGTGCATCCACTTCACCGTCACGTGAGGCCGGCCGCGGGGCACGGCTGGGGAGGTGGTGGCTGGGCAGCCAGCGGCGAGCTGCCTCCCCGCTGGTTTTTCGGCAGAAGAAGCGTGGAGCTTCTGGATGCTTTTGGTTTTTACACCTCTGAATCGATGAGCCAGCGCATGGCGTTTTCCCACCATCCCTTGGTTATCTGTTTGGGATGAGCTGGAGAAAGGTGAATGGTTGGCCAAGGGATTTGCGTGCCCACCAGGCAGGCACAGCACATAGGGTGCCAGTTTGATGTGTCAGAGGCTGCTACAATGTCCGAGGAAGCTGCTGGTGCTGGGGAGCCTTTCCAGAGGCGCTGTGACACTGGCCCAGCAGGAACTCGGGAGAGCCAGGCCCTGCGGTCACCGAGCTGCACGAGGATGTTGCGTGGCTCCCTGGGACAGGTCAGTTCTGGCAAGGAGCAGCGTGGATCCGTGCTGTTGGCTCGTGGGGGTGCTGGGTGAAGCCAGCCGGGCAGCAGAGCCACCCCAGGGTGCTTATCCTTTCCTTCACCCTTGCACCTGCAAGCCCTCAGCCTTTCAGAGCAGGATCCATGTCCTGGAGGGCACCGAGCAGCCCGTGGGGGCTTGTGTCCAATGCGGGGATCTGAGTTTTCTGGAGTGGGGTGGTTTGGGGGGGCTCCCTGCTTTGCTGCCTGCATGGCAGAGGGCGAGGCGAGCAGTGTCCCCGGCAAACAATGCTCACGACAGGCATTGGGAATATTATTTTCCAGCTGCAGCTGGGTCCCTGGAGACCTGGCCTCGCTGGCTGCGGAGCTTAGCTGTGGGCTTTCCTTGGCTACCCTAGAAAGCAAGACAAGGGATTTCAGCTTGACTGTGCAGAGCAGAGGACTGGGCTGCAATGGTGTGTG